AGAAAAAGCTTGAAAAAGTGTGAAACTGAAATCCATACTAGAGGCATTTTCAGGACCAAATAAGCATCCCAATCGCTTCCTGGAACTTCTCTGAAGCAGAACCAATCAAGATCACACGCTCTCCTGCCTCCAAAAGCCCTGTAAGTGTCCCTCGAATCTGCCATGCTCATGGATTTGTAAAGCTTCATTCTTGCATCCATTCTCAGAAACGTTTGCATATTTGAATTCCTCACATCATTTGTGAACTTTCTACATTAGCCAATTTCATTATTATGCTATGTATCACAAAATGTCATTGTAGATTTTTCTAGGGTTCTTTCAGGGGTTTTCATTATAGGAAAAATTTGCCAATAAAAAGACCATGATTGGAACCGGGATGGAGAGGCGAGTAAAACTATGCCTTTAGATTGCATTTTTGTGGCTCATGGTGGATTTTAGAGATAGCACAGCATATAGCTACGGACGATCGTCCGTTGGTATAGGTGAAGAAACTTTTAGCCACGGTCCCAACAACAGGGACGATGGCATGGCGTGTCCTGATTGGGTTGTTTGAATATGGCGCATTTTTGTTTTATAATTCTGATATAATAGTTTGTTTCACATATAATACTCATTACCTATTCCACTAACAATTAAGCACATTGGCTCAGATGGAAAGCGTGTTAGTTCAAAGTCCAATGGGACCTGGGTTCGAATCCCAGGTCCCCAAATATATTTGTTTCATTTTTCTTCAGATAATTGCATGTGGTTCCCAAGGCGTAGCACACCATACTCCTCAAAGATCCAGGCGCCAGATGGCCTTCAGGCCAAATCCAAGGGCCAATATTGGAAATCCATCCTACACTATAGTCAACGTGCCATGGAGAATTGGAAAAGTCAGCCCAGGCTTGCTGCAATTGGGCCAAAGAATTGCAAGTCAAACCTCCAGATTGGGACCCAAACCCCCTTTGGTTTATTTCTTTTCTTTTCTATATTTCTTTTATTTAATTGTTTTGTTAATTATTTTGATTATTTAACTAACCAATTAACATTTTTCTTAATTATATCAAAACACAAAAAAATATTATTTTTTTATTTATTAAAATTAAATTTGACTTTATTTTTGTAAATAAATATAATTTAATCAATTTAGCATTTAATTAGGTTTAACTTTTAACATCTTTTGCAATAATTAAAATCAATTTAGAATATTAGGTTTTTATTAACATTAATCCATTTTATTTTATTTCCTTAAATATTCAAAAACCCAAAAATATTTTAATTAATTAATTAATTAATTTTGACCTAATTCAATTTCCATTTAATTCAAAAAAATAACAAAAAAAACATGCTTTCTTTTCAAAAAGGGTCAAAACCCTAAAAAATGCGTCGATTTAATTTTCTCGCACGCGATCCATATTTCCGTATTATTGTAATTGCTTCCGGAATGTAATAGCTTTTAATTAGGACTTTATTTTATTGCTTTACTTTCCGCAATTTAAATTAAAGGGTTGTTTTTGGCGATGTAAATACCCGACACCTTGTAATAGTTAGATTTAATTTCCGCAATTTAAATTCCGTAACTATACACTGTTAGATGTTTGATAATAGGGAATGCATGACAAGATCAAATCTTTAACCTAAAATCAACATAGATCACCCATGACATGTACAAAAGATAAATTAACTAAAAACGACACACTCGCACATGCGCACTTTTAGGGTGTACCTCACTTGGTTGCCTTCGAACGTGGTCATTGAGTATAAGAAGTTTTAGAGGTCGCCCTCTTGTCCAAAGATCATAGTTTCCTCGAAACGATTGCCTCGGAAAAATGATCTAAGACATTAGGGTTACCGCTAAGGCGTCCTAACATTGCTTTAGTGACCACACGTCCCTTAATCGAATTGACCCTTAAACTCCAACGATGGTGCTACCTACTCATTCATAGTGGGATAGCATTGTCTAAAGGACATTTGTACAGATTAATTCATTTTTCAAGTAGTTAGATGGTTCTTAAGTACTTGCTCCTTTTAAAAACAAAACAAAACTTTTCGCACTCACACCTTTCAAACAAGAAACTCTTTTTAAACCCACAAACACAAAGAAAAGCAATTTTGAAAACACTTTGAGCAAGTACCTAAGAGCCCGTGGATAACCACGGATAGAAAGGGTGTTAACACCTTCCCTTTCTATAATCTACCTCCCGGACCCGAGAAACATCTCGAAAAAGGAATTTTTCTGTGCTTTTGTCCTTTCCTTGTTGGATAAAATAAAAGACGGTGGCGACTCTTGCTTACCGCGACATTTTGCGAAAACAAACGCAAAACGCGAACCAGCATTCCAAAACAGTCAGTTCTATTTCCCACCGATCACAGAACTGGCGACTCTGCTGGGGACTATTAAAAAAGTGAGGTGTACCTTAGGATTAGATAATTGTGTTTTCAATTGCATGCTTTGTATGATTTATATTTGTGGGCTTGTATCGGAGTTTTATAGATCCTAACCTGGATCTGGGGATACCCTTTAGGTAAGTAGCAATAAACTGTGAGGGAACTGTACGGCATAGAACGATACGGTTGAAGCAGTAGCTACGTTGGTGTGGCACTTTAGATTGTACCGATATCCCTTGTGTTGGAACGAGGAGAATATGGGTCATCTAAGGGGTCATTAAGCACCAGCTGAACTTAGAACCTTTAAATCGACCAACTTGGCCATAGAACAGTAGCAGTATGCTACACTCATTGAGACTAAACTCTCGCGATGATTCCGGCCGCAAGAAAAGGTTGCTAAACTGGAATTATGAACGATTGAGGGTAGTCAGTGATATTGAGATCCTCTAGAACCCGGTTACTATTTTTAGGACAGGTTTAAACCAACTACACTGAAAGAGGGTAATGCCTAAACTTCATGCCAGCCTAAACTTAAGGCTATATGTGTGACTTGTGTGCCTTCAAACTTGAACTACTTGCACATTCTTTTTATCTGACAACATGAGTTCCTTGCAGGTTTTGTTTACAGTCCTTATCCAATAATTTGGATTTATTGCAAGGTTTACTTACATCACCTCACACTTTTGCTTAAACGCATAGCATACACATCATAACATCATGCCTTAACATTTCCTTAACCATTTTAAGGATCTCAAGGGTCTGTGATGCAGGTTATGGTAAATCAAAGGTCTAGAAAGGGGGAAAGGGATTTATTTTCCTCTAGCTAAGGTTGTCTAGAAATCAAAACACGATAATTTGAGTCAGGGGCTATGACCCACTCGATATGGTGAGCTTGACTCTTAAAGAAGGACTCTTAACAACATGAAGTTTCTTCAATCAAAGCTGCAAAATTCAAATTCTAACAAGTTTCTTGTTTACCCTGAGAGATCCTTGAAAACATGCATCCACATAACATGCATCCACATCATGACAGGTTTTCCCTTTCAGGTTTCCTTATTTTCCTACTGTTTATTTCAGTAGAGATGGCCCTAGAGAGAACTGTTGAAGATATTCAGGCTCAAAACGCTCAACTTCAAGAAATGTTCTTGAACCTATCTGTTGTACCCCAATTTTTGACCTAAGATCCCATTTTTATTTTTGCATTTTTAAAGATAAGTCAAGGTCACGAAATACGGTCGGTTTTAACGTCTCACCTTCGAGCTTTGACAATGCAAAGATTGTCAAGTGTTTTGAACATTTTTAGCATATGTATCACTAATTTCTAATCGCATACAAAGGTGTATGTTCATGTTTTCTTTTGTGTCATGTGCAGAGACAGGTCTGAATCAAGAGCATCAGGTGTCGTGCCTCAATTAAGGTTTTGAGTCTCCCAAGCCAGAAGTACGGTTGATTGTGGATTCTCGAAAACTGATTCATCAAGGCACAACTGTTGCACCCTAAATTTCGCCCCTAATATGTTTTAGTCGTACTTTCATATCATATTTTGTTATTTGGTCACAATCATTAGTAAATATCTTCATTCATCACATTTTGCATCATTAGTCGTATTTAAGTTGACCAGAAAAAGTCAGTTTAAATCAAAGTTTGCATTGTTTTTCAGTTGTAAAATACCCGACATTTCACTTCATTCATTTTTATCTGTTTACTATTTTCTTGCATTGCTCCAAGTTGTTTATATGTCGATAATAAAATATTTCGGTTTTATAGACAGACTGTTAAAAGCGATTCGACACTATGCGGGAAATTAGCGAGAAAATATTTCAAGTTTTCACCTTTTACCGATCATTTTATGAATCTTCGTTTCGCGTAGATTATGACGGTATGCTCGCTTTATTTTTTCGGTACAGTTCGAAGTCTCGTTGTTAACCTTAAACGTCTGTTTAGTCTGATATTTTTATTATTATTTTATTTTTGATTTTTGACTTCTTGAATATTTTTTCTTTAATCTTTGTGACATCTAGATTATTTTAATGTGTTCATTTTATTTTTTCGGATAAATTTTCGTCCGTGTTTTATCATTTTCGGTCATTTTGGGTCTTTATTTTTTATTCATAAAATATTAAAAAAAAATCATTTAAATTGAGTTAATTTTAATACATTTAGTTTTTTTGGTTATTTTTATCATTTAAGGACTATTTGGTCACAAAAATATATTGTTACACTACACTTTATTCCTATTGGTTGTTAACAGAAGTGATGGATCGATATTGAATTTGCCAAACGGAATTGAATAATGGACGGATATGATTGCAAGCTGAAATCATTTTTTCCTTTTCATCTAACTATTTAAATAGTCTTCATTTTCTTTGTGAAGAACAACAAAAAAATACACCAACAGTAACCCTCATCTTTTCAACGCACACCTCACTTCCGCTCCAACAACACCAACAACAACTCCACGTGAAAAACACAAAACCTGTTCACAAAGAGAAACACAAACACAAGTCAAAATCAAAAACCATGATTATCATCGTAACAGTTTCCTCAGTTTCAACATCCATTCTTGTTATATTATCCATATTAGCAATCTTTGGTTACAGAAAAAAAACGTCAACAAGCAAAAAGAACAAATGGGCAATCTCAATATCAAAACCAGTGATAGGATCAACAACAACCCCATTACAAATCTGGTTTATTTTTCATCGTTGAAAATCCACTCACACGTTTCATTTGAGAAAATCGCAACACACAACCATGGTTTCCTTCAACACCATTTGGATTTTCTCTCTCGCTCTTCTTCCTCCTCATCGCCGTCACTATTCAGGAAATATGGAAATGTTCTGGTGCTGAAGCGATTTCAGGTTCGAGTGGCTTTGACTGCAACATATGTCTGGAGTGTGTGCAATATCCGGTGGTCACTCTTTGTGGCCATCTCTACTGCTGGCCCTGCATTTACAAATGGCTTAACCAAGCACAAGAGAAGCAGAAGGAAAAGCTGCAATGTCCAGTATGCAAATCAGAAATTTCAAAATCATCACTTGTTCCGCTCTACGGTCGCGGCCAAACCACACCGCCTTCCAAAGGCAATGCTCAGCAAGTGAGTAGTGTCATATCTCCGAGACCGCCTAGTCTTTCGTGGATGACTAACTTACCGAAGATACCGCCGATGCTGCTACCCCTTTCGCCCTCTGTCAAAACAGCTAACCTCCATTATTAAACAAACAACCCAACAATCCACAGACCTCATACAGTGACCTCCCTTCGCCGATCTTTGTCTCTCCGCCACTATCTCATAACTACCCAAATAAATCGCTCATCATCACCTCTGTTCCGTTCAGATATCTCACCAACCTCTTTCCACCAAACACCCTCCGCCGTAAATTTCCACCAGCTTTTTCATGATCCATACTCCCTTCTGTAGCAAACCGCCATCATTAACAACAACCTTCAACACAACGTATTCCTTTCTGCTACGTACTTCTAACTGCTTCAACTAATCACTTTCACTCTCACTGTAACAACCCACGCTCACAACCTTCTTCGACACAACCTGCACCACCACACGCAAAGCCACCGAAAAGTACTTCTTTGCCTCCCTTACGCGTCACAGTCTGATTCTATCCCTTCCCCACTCATCACCATCGTTCATGCCCAACATCACTACCACCTCCCATTCAGATCTCAATCATTGTCGACATCTCGATGTTACCAGCCGAAGCACCCCGCCACAGTATCATCGATGACCATCTCCATAGGCAACAGTTCAGGTTTGAATCTTAAGTTTTTGGCATTTGATTTCATGTATTTGAGTTTGTTGGCATTATTGTGTTTGTGTTTTGGAAAAACATAGGAAATAAAGAATGACAATGAAGTTGTCTTCTCACTCTCCGTGTGCCTATGCGTATCATATGCCCTTTTTTTGTTTTGTTTATTGTGCGACATGTGGCAGCCTGTCATTGGGGCCAATAAAAAAACTGAAAAAATAAGTTGAAAGGTAAGAATGGGACGCTGCCCATGAAGCTGTTGTTGGAGTTGTTTTGTTCTACTTTATTAATTCTTATTCTAATTGTTTACTTAATTCTAGATTAGGGTTTGAATTTGGTATAGGCTTGGGCCCTAATTTCTACTTCTTATTAACCAAGTCTCATTACACCCCTTTTTTCGGTTTGATACCCCCATGCTATTTATTTTAGTTTTATTTCCTTAGTTAAATTTATTTAAATTAGGTTAGTTAGTTTCTTAGAAAGAAACATGTAGTTTCAATTAGACAAATTTTAATAATTTTAGTTTAGAATTATTTTAGTAATTTTAAGTTCATTTAGGATTATTTTAGTAACTTTAGAATTATTTTTAGTTATTTTGGATTTAACTTAATAACCTTAGAATTTTAATTTAGTTTATATCTAATTTAGTAATTTTAGAATTATTCTTTATAACCTTAGAATTCGTAATTAGTTCAGAATTATTTTAGTAAGTAATCTTAGAATTTTAATTTAGATAATTGGTTCCATTCTCTTTTAAATATCTTTGTCATTTTATTTTTTTGGGGTCTTTCGATTTATTTCCTTGTTAATTTTCGAATGTTCATATTTTGACATCCATTTTATTTTGTTCGTCCGTCTAAAATCCAAGGGAAATGTTTTAACTCTGTTGACTTCATGTTATCAAACACATCTCATCCAATCGTGCGAATACCCTCATTTATCTTTTGTTTGTTTACTATTTTGTTAAACCTAAGATAATTTTCCCAAAAGATTCAATTTTTAAACTCACACCTTTTAAGTCAAAACTTCGACACTAGGTCGCCGTATCTTCAAAATCTCTCCAACACCGATTTTTAGCCAAACGAACCATTTTAATCAAACAAACAATTTTAACCAAAAACAGATATTTCAAAAGGTTCCTGCGGAGTACCGCAGATGCATTGGGTGCTAATACCTTCCCATTATATAACCAACCCCCGAACTCTCGATCTCTTTCAAAAACGCATTGTATTTTTATTACTTTTAAGTATTATTTTACATTGCATATTTTAGGGTTTTATTTCGCTCTTTTCCCTTTTCCCTTGGAAATAATAAAGCGCGGTGGCGACTCTTGCTTTTGCGAGTCAAGTTAATTAATAGCTTGATCTCCGATTTTCACCGCTACACTATCCCAGGGGCAGGAAGAAATAAAAGCTCTCCTCACAAGGGGCTTAGTCCTAGGGAATCCAGGCGGCATCAGGAATGATCAGTTGGAAGGGCTACAAATTGAGTTGGAAACAATGAAGATCCAAATGATGGGACAGTTGGTGGGCCAGATGGCTCTCATTCAAGACCTGGCTCAAAGACAAGAAGAGCTCAGGGTCCTCGTCAACAAAATAATTCAAAATAACCAAGTGGGGAAAACCACTAGGGTTGAAGATCAAGTCATAATTCAACCTCCTTTGAGACAAGAAGACAAGGGAAAATCTCCCCAGCTTGCTTCAGGGTCACAATCCCAACAACAACCTCGCCAGCGCCAACGGGGTAATCGGCGTAAGCAAAATACATCTGGAAGACATTTCTCTGAGACTGGTATACCATCATCTCTAATAATGAAACGCTTGTTGGAGGTCAATCTGATTCCTTTAAAGGATCCTCTCAGGAATCCCAATACCTCTGCTCCTGGCTATCACCCCGACGCATTTTGTGTATACCACTCCTATAGTCCTGGACATGACACCGACGACTGTTGGGGCTTTGAAAAACAAGATCCAAGACTTGATTGATAGAAGAGTGCTGGAATTCATGCCGGATGGCGAGATGAAAATCTTCTGCTGAGGGTTCTCTACCTGAAATGACTAGTTCGAACTAAGAGACTTTTGCTCATTAGAATTTTCAAGCTGTAATTTTCTTTTGACTGTTCGAACATTTATTCATGTCAAACTTTATTACTTTACAAATTCATTGCATATGTCTGTTTTGAATCAATCCATTCGTATTTCACTATATTCAAATTGCTTTCTTTTTTTGTGATGATCAACTCTCGATTAAAAAAATTTCTAAGCCTTTAGAGGGAGGATGACGAAAATGATATCAAAATCTCTACAGTATGCTTTTGAACGGACCCCGCTGACGAGGTACAGGCATTGTTTCAAATCCTAAATAGTGGAGTTATAAGGAAGATAATCCCTAATCAACCCCTTTGAGCCAAAGACGTTGGAGTTTTTCTTTTCACAAATTAAAACCCTTAATCACAACCCGGGGCAGGGTAGTTTTCTCAGTTAATTCAGATGCACAATGAATGGCATCGAAGACGTCCTTCCAAAACAAGAGACGGTGATGGTTCCTTATAACCGTTAGGACAGGCAGTCGTTATCTCTCATAAATAAAATCCCATTAAGTCAAAACCTGTGAAGGAGACTTAAGAAAAACTGGGGCATCCCGCTGACTGTAATCACAAAAAGAAACAGTTCAGGCAAAAAAAACAGGGATAATAAAAACCAAAAAGAAAGAGATCCTGCAAACTCTCAGCAAAATGACTGCCTGTCCAAAATAAATTGTCAGTATCCGAACCATCACTGGTATATCAAAGCAAAGACTCATACAAGATCTAATGCATGATTAGCTGAGTTTAGGGTCGAAGAACATCACGAAGAATGGGTGGGTATAAATAAAATTTGAGCCTTTATCATTTGTTTCTTAAACCATGAACCAGGCCACGTTATAACCCTTAAAAGTCCTAGCTGAAGCATGGGTTAGTTCGAAAGCATACTGTTACAAAAGGTATCCTGACTCATGTAGGGCTCGTTGTAAAGTCCTGAGTTGACATCACATTTTACAAAAATTCGCTTGTTTTATTGAAAACTGCATTTTCAAAAACTTCAAGACAGACATAAGCTTTGCATTCTTAAAATAACATTGTTTTCATATGACTATTTGTTCAAAACAGCAGAGAAATTCGCATGACAAATATCTACTGAACAAAAACCTTTTCAATAAAAAGGGTCACCTCAAGTGGAAAAAAAATCACTTCCAACCAAGGGGCAGACATGATCATTGTCCATTATTTGGGGCAGTCAAGTCAAGATTCAAAGAATCTCTCAAAGATGCCAGGGGAAAATCTCCATCTGAGTCACTTGGGGCATTAGACATGGATTTCCGCAACGAATCTTGCATGATCAAACATCTTCTGGTAGTATGACAACACGACACTACTGACAGTGACAACTCCCTACACTCTGAGAGTGTGGACATAGTCAAAAAAGTACCGCGCATGAATAAAGACCCGCTAGGTTGACTGGCCTAGGCAAAAATAAGGGCTTCCCAGCGAACCAAAAGGGTTCGGGCAAAAATAAAGGATGAAAATGAAAAAATATGTACACCCGGCAAGTCGAAAACTTGAAAAGGAGTCTTGGGCACAAAAAAAAGGGTATCCCGGTGGACTGAAAACCCGAAAGGACGGTCTAGGCAAAAATTAAGGTTCAAAGCGTACGACTATGTCTCGTCATCTCGTCACTTGCCTACCAGAAGAAGACTTGTCATTTCAATCGAAAGATACCAAGCACCTCATAGGTAGGGATAATACTCGATCCACAGGGCCTCTACAGGCACCTTCTCCCGTAGAAATAGGGGCAAAACATCTCGATGCAAGCCATCATTATATCCTTAGCATGCTCCCCAGGAACATTCACTCCCCGTAGAGTAAGACAGTAATGATAGCTCTCCCAGCTGAGACTCGCGATTGTGAATGAATCAGTAAGGCTCTCCCCAAGAAGAGTTAGTCTACCATCAGCACTAAAAAGATCTTAATATTCCCCAGCAAATATAAGAGTATCCCCGGCAGTCTTAATATTCCTCAACGGAGTATAAGAATGTTCCCAGGCAGCATACAAGATACCCCCAGTGGAGTCAACTTTCCCAGCACGATTTGAAAAAGCTTCCCCAATAGAGTTGAATCATCATCCCCAGTAGACTCTGGAAGTTCATCCCTGGCGGAGTATAAAAATAAATATCCCCAGCCAAATTCAGAGGGTTATCCCCACAAAAGTCTAACAGGGTTACCCCTAGCAAGTCGCAACTGAAAGATCATCCCCAGCGAAGTTCTTTCTTTCCCCAAGCAGGACTTCAACCCTCAATAG